CACCCGCCCGCCCGTAAAACTGCGAGAAAAAAAAAAAAAAAAAGAGCACACCCACCCACACTCAAACACAAGCATCAATCGACTCTCTCTCACACTCTCACTATACATTTGCAAGACATGTTCTAAGAAATGACAAATGACAAGATCATTCATTACTGAGCGGCGACGACTTCACTCAACAAGCACACATGACAATTCTCTCTCTCATTTTACATCTGCAAGACATGTTTATGTCTACTCGTGGGAAGTTCACGAATCATGGGCGACGCGAGTCTCCTCTTTAATCAACAGACACATGACAACCGATGTGCAGATACTACACGACCCAACCCCCTTCGACCGACTGTCAACAAACACAGTGCCCTGATGGCATTCGTAATGGAAGTGATAATGAAAAAAATATTTTATTATTTTTTTTTTAATTTCAATTTCGTTATTCCATGTAGTTCATTTTTAATCAATATATGTTTGTGGAATTCTAAATATATTATTAGCAACACAAACAATAGCATTCATTAAAAATATACTGTTCATAGGAAGACCAGGTATTCATGAATTTCAAGGAGTAGCTAGCCTAATTTCTATCACGCTTCTTGCTGAACATAGTTTTACGTGATGGGATAGATAAACATGAATTTTAAAGAATGTAAATAAAAATAATCCAAATGAATAAACAAATAAATAAAATATTGTAATATGTGGAAGCCCCCAGATTGTGGAGGCCCCTGGTCAGCTGCCCACCTTGCCCACTCCTGAATCCGGCCCTGTGTGTACCGCCGGCAAGGCAGTGGACTGGTAACACTCGTCTTGTCCGCTGTTCACACCGTTTCTCTGCGGATGTCGGTCACACTAGAATAACTCATTATAATACATCCTTCTTTCTTCACACAGCCAAACTGTGGAATGCAAGGCCTTCATCTGTGTTTCCATACTCTTACAATGTCTCACTTCAAATAGCTGGTTTTCCAGCAACTTTGTGGTGTAGATTAATATAATCTTTTCCTCTTCTATTTTTTAAATCTTTTTACTCTTATTTTTTCGCCCCCTAGGCCCCGTTGTGGGTCGATGACTTGTGCCCGGGTGGGCTATTCCTCGTAAAATATTACCTCATAAAATATGATGGTTGAGGTTATCTTTGTCAGGTCACCAGGTAAAGTTGACCTCTACAAAAGCAGTCCCTCCGACCGACTGTCAACAAACACAGCGCCCTGATGGCATTCGTAATGGAAGTGATAATGAAAAAAATATTTTATTTGTTTTTTTTTAATCTCAATTTCGTTATTCCATGTAGTTCATTTTTAATCAATACATGTTTGTGGAATTCTAAATATATTATTAGCAACACAAACAATAGCATTCATTAAAAATATACTGTTCATAGGAAAACCAGGTATTCATGAATTTCAAGGAGTAGCTAGCCTAATTTCTATCACGCTTCTTGCTGAACATAGTTTTACGTGATGGAATAGATAAACATGAATTTTAAACAATGAAAATAAAAATAATCCAAATGAATAAACAAATAAATAAAATATTGTAATATGTGGAGGCCCCCAGATTGTGGAGGCCCCTAGGCAGCTGCCCACTTTGCCCACTCCTGAATCCGGCCCTGGAGGGGGTCTTATAAGAACATAAGAATGGAGGAAACTGCAGCAGTCTTATTAGCCCATACTGTGCAGTCCAATTTTCACCCAACCCCTATTGCTCATATATCCATCCAACCTATGTTTGAAGCTATCCAGCGTGTTCGAGTTAATGATGATGTTTGGTAACTTGTTCCACTCGTCCACTACTCTAATTCCAAACCAATGTTTACCTATTTCCGGCCTAAATCTAAATTTGTCTCATTAAAAACCATTGTTACGAGTTCGCTCCTGGTTGGATAATTTTGAGTATCTTTGTAATGTCTCCTTTGTTTAGCCCTGACTTCCATTTATACACCTCTATTATATCGCCCCTCACTCTACGTCTCTCGAGGGAGTGCAAATTAAGACGCTTTAACCTGTCTCTGTACTAAGGTTCCTAATGCCCGGGATTAGTCTTGTCATTCTCCTCTGAATTCTTTCCAAGGATTCTATATCCATTCTGCAATACGGTTACTAGAATTGAACTGCGTAATCCAAGTGAGGTCTCACAAGCGCAAAATATGGTTTTAGGATGACCTCGCTAGTCTTATAACTAACACTCCTTTGTATGAACCCAAGTACTTTACGAACCTTGTTTCAAGCAAATACACATTGTTTACTTGGTTTAAGGTTCCTACTTATCATTACTCCTAAATCTTTCTCGCAGTCGGATTTCTCAATAACATCGTTGTTCATCTGGTATCTGGTTTCCCTGTTTTCATCTCCGATATTGAGCACTTTACATTTGTCCACATTGAATTTATCCGCCATTTTTCAGACCATTCGAAATTTTTTTTTAGATCTTCCTGTAGATTTGCAGAGTCCTCGTCAGATTTAATTACGCGCCCTATTTTAGTGTCATCAGCAAATTTACTTATGTTGCTGTCTACGCCGATATCTATGTCGTTTATGAGTCTCCATAACGACCCATTTCCGACGGAAATGAAGGTCGGATTCACTTGAAACACCACAAAATACACATGAATAAAAGACACCATAACACGTCAGATTAACCTTTCATAATTGCTTGTGCCCAAGTTACGACCTTACAGATAAGAGTCCTCAGGTTTTGCTCACCTAATATTAATGATGCAAAAATGTGCTACAATATTGATACAATACACCATAACATAAATGACAAGTTGGACATGTGAATAAAAGGCTACAAGTAATACCAAACAATGATCAAACATAATGTAAACCTTGAGTACAGAGACAGGTTAAAGCATCTTAATTTGCACTCCCTTGAGAGACGTAGAGTGAGGGGCGCCATGATCGAGGTGTATAAATGGAAGTCAGGGTTAAACAAATGTGATATATCAAAGGTACTCAAACTATCCAACCAGGAACGAACTCGTAACAAT